GGAGTCAATTTTTTCCCTTCATTGATGATATAAAATATTTTAGGTTCTTCACAATCTGAAAATGCTCTCTCTGGTATCTTGGAGATCTTTTTACCACTTGAGGAAAAACATTTTCCTTCACAATCATTCTAGTCCATTTCCATTCCACTGCTAAATCCCAGTCCTATGGCCCCCACCCCTCACCCCCAGCAGGGTGTGCTCTCCCACTTGTGGGCCCCAAATTAAAGCTGAGGTGCTGCTATTTCAGCTCTACCCTCCTACTGTACCTCCAGGGCATCATTAAGAGTTGGTACCAGGCCTCAGAACTAAGCAGTAAAAACAGAATAAGATGGGCTCCTACCCCCAGCCCCACTTAGGTAGCCCTGGCTGATAGGAAGTGGAGAGCAAATCGCAGATTGAAACAGCCTACTTCAGTTTCCTTCCATGACAAAACTATTTTCTTGCTCTAGGGCCAGACAGGGGTAACCATTGTACTTTCTTCAGCTCCCCAAAGCAGAGAGGGAGCTGGGACTGGCAAAAAGAATTAAAATACATTCTTTCACCCTCTCTCGGTCATCCTTTCATTTCTCTGGCCTATTTTTTATTTAGTTTTCCGATTTCAAACCACTGTGTCAGGTGCCCTGGAGAACATGGAGTAAACTGGCAGCATCCCTATCCTTCAAGAGTTGAAGGTATCCCCAGAGAAAAGTGGCTTCCAAGATCTTACAGGATGGAGCATTTTTGCATGAAATAACAAGTCACAATCAGAGGCCTCCCTGGTGGTGCAATAAGTTAAAACACAACATTATGAAGCTCTTCTCAGCCACTGGGCATGAGATTAATCCCCGGCCAGGGAGCTGACACACATGGCATGACAGCTCGCCCCTGACCCGCCCACTGCTCCCCTCAGCAGTGTATTTCAGTCAATCTGCTTGTTCTGTTCCCTACTCTGTCTCTCATGAATCCTCTCACTGCCCCCCCCCACAATCTCTGGCCTGTACCCAGTGCTTGTATGCATAAATAAATAAATCTTTAAAAAAAATCACAATCAAAACAGCCATATCCCTGGTTACTCTTACTTTCACATGAGGGGACAAAGTCTGAACAGGACCAGAAACTGCGTTTCCAGACGGCAGGCCTGTCTGCACCCCACTATAGGCAACCCATAACTGAAGGCAGAGAACAGGTTCTCTCAGTTTAAAAGCTTCAAGATGTCACTGGATAGACAGCACCAAAGTAATTTTAATTGGAATATTGGCTTGCACCTGATCCCTAACAGAAACAGCCCTGTGGCCTTGAGAGGGTCCCTGTGTAAACTAGTTCAGTTACTTCTGGTGGGTACCGGGGCCCAAGAAAGGGCACTGCCATACTAGAATGCACAAAGGACCAGTATTTGTGACACGAACAAGTGACTACAAAGAGCAGAATGAAGGAAACTATCTTGAAGAGGGGACAGTGAGGTAAAGTTACAGTGTCCTTTGGTGCAGGGAGGAGGGGTCGTCAGCATTTCCTCTGCTGGTACCTCCTACTCCTTCAGCTCCACCTGCCAGGAAGTCTTCTGAAAACACACCTATGGAAACAAGAAGGCTCATCCTATACCTGTCAGTTCATCTAGGTATTTTAAATGGTCACATTTATTTATATGTCCAAGGGGAACTATGTCTGGTGACCTGGGCTAACAGGGAACGTTTCTGATCTGTGACTACCGTGAACTCACGGCTTCACTTTTTCAAACCACACTTTTCCCCATCTGGGAATAAAATGGGACTTAAAATGTGAGACAGCGCATCCAAACTAATTTCAGGATGACAGACATAAATTTTGTAATAATCACATAGTGTCTTTCAAAACAAGAGTACACATGAAAGCTCATTCCGCATACATCTTTGGATACCTGAGGGAGATTGAGGCTGTTTACTGTGCTCCTAAGCCCTGCGCGTGCATTAAGTATGTGCCTGTCAAGTAGGTATTGCATATTGTTTAAGGACAAAGCATCTGAGGTGGTGGTCACGGCATGGTAACATTCATCTGAAGACTTGTAAACCTCTATCCGTAAGCCATATATGGTGTTGCAAACCAGCATTACCTCAATGCAAAATAATGTAATTAAAAATAAAATGAGGGGCCCTCCCTGGTGGTGCAACCGGTAAGGATGCAGCACTGCAAGCTAACTGCAGCTGCTTCAGTGTGAGTTTGATTGCCAACCCCAGAGGTGATCCCCATGGTGCAGCAGACCTCTCCTGACCCGCCCTGCTGCTCTCCTCAACAGAGTACTTTGGCGACCTGCCTGTTCTGCTCCCTATTCTGACTCTGGTGAATCCTCTCACTGCCCCCACACCACTAGCCTGTACCCCAATTCTGTATGCATAAGTAAATAAGTCTTTTTTAAAAAATAAAATAAAATGAGGGGACCTTCCTGATGACCTTCCTGAGGGGTTAAGTCTCAGAGCAACCACCCTGATGCTGAGTTCTATCCCCAGTCAGGGGCAATCCCACATGGCACAGCAGACCTCTGCTGTCTCTGTCCTGCTCGCTGCTCCCCTCAGCGGTGTGTTTCAGTCAATCTGCCTGTTCTGCTCCCCACTCTGTCTCTGGTGAATCCTCTCACGCCCTGCATCTCTGGCCTACACCCCAGCTCTTGTATGTATGAATAAATAAATCTTAAAAAAATAAGCAGGGACCTTGGATCTGGTGCATGCACTGCCTGGGCTCCTGGAGAGGTGGGTGCACAGGATTGAGGGAAGTGGTCACTCTTAAGTTCTAAACAGTACATTTGGGGTAGCTGTGAGGAGTGCGAAATACCAGTTAGGATCTCAGAGATACCAGTTAAGCGTAGATTGCTACGGATTAGGCAGAAGGTGAGGCATGAACTGAGCTGTGGCCATGTAAAGGAGGAGTGAGAAGGAAGGAGGCACCCAAGCTTCCGGTCTCAGCGCCCTGATGTCATAACCAGGCCTGGAAATGCAGGGACAAG